TTAGAGAAAATTGATGGATTTGTTTGATTATAACTAGCAAATCAACAAAGAAAATAAGAAGCAATGAGCAAACTAAGGCCGATTCAGCAAGCCTGAGAAAACCCAGATCTGGGTTTCAAAAAACCCAGATCTGGAGAGGAAGAAGGGAAAAGAGAGAGAGAGAGAATAAGAAGAAGGAAAAAGCGCGAAAAAGTCCCGCGTGATTACTGTACAGGTGGGCCCCACTGCACACGTGGCGTCCACGTGTGCAAAACATAAGGAAAAGTCCCGCGCGACTACTGTACATGTGGGCCCATATTGTGCACGTGACCTCCACGTGTGCAGAAAATAAGCCACATCATCAAAAAAGACCTCCACGTTGGATTACTGACGGCACATAGTGGGCACGTCAATTTCTGGGTGCCACATAGTGCATTCTGTAACGGTGCCGTGACGGCGCGTTAAAATGTTGGGTTTTTCACGGGTTTTGAAAACTTGAGGGTGTGAATAGGGAGGAAAATATTTGGAAGGTGTTGACCGTGAAAAACAATTAAGTGTAGGGTGCAAATAGGGGCTTTGGCCTTAAATATATTAAGAGCATGCACCCGACCCTTGATGTTTAATCGCATTAGTAATTGATGTATTTTTCTTTGGCCGAAGCTTCTATTTGCACCCTCTATTTATTTTTTTTTCGTGGTCAACATCTTCCAAAATTTTTTCTTCCTATTCACATCCTCCACTTTTTAAAACACGTAAAAAACCCAATATTTTAACGGACCGTCACGGAACCGTTAATAACCGTTAAAAATTGTAATACGTGGCATCAAACAGTAACATAATTTAATGTGGACTTTTTTTTTTGATGATATGGCATAATAAAATCATAATTAATTTTAATTTTTTCATTTTCTTCTTCCTGCATCATCTTTACCATATTCCTGGGTTCCTCATGGAACCAGGTACCCAGAACTTTTTTTTATAATGTGTTATAATTAAATCATCATTAATTTTAATTTCTTCATTTTCTTCTTTCCCAGCATCATCTTCACCATCCTCATCCTCATTCCCTAGGTTCCTCGCAAAACCCAGGTTCTGAGTTCTTCGTAGAAAGTTCTGAGTTCTTGTAGAACTTAATTTCACATGAATGCAAGCTAAGATTTTTATCCACACAATTATAAATAAATGAATACTGCACAAAAATATAATAAGTATCTTTTACTCTTTTCCCACAAAAAACGAAAATTGGCAACCTATTCAGTAACAATCTCTCAGCAAAAAAACTCACTTTCTCAACAAAAAAAAATTATTCCAAATTATTTTGCATAAAATCGAAAGTTAAGATAAATACATTTAAAAAATATATATATA